ATTCCTATCCCACTAAATCACTAATGTTCTATTTTCGTATGACAACGTTCTTGCAAGTAGGTGTATCTTATATTGTATACAGATAATGTAATAGATTTCTGAGCATGAGTCTTGTCTGCCTATTGTTTTGAAGGTATCCTTGAATGTACCAGTAATGGACAATGTGACTGTCTCAGCAATTTTCTTGGAAAACAATGTGATGCCTGCGCTTCTGAGTACTACTGGAATACATCTGGTAAAGGATGTGTTCTGTGTAACTGCGATGCTCGGGGATCGATTGGCACGAACTGTAACGTGTCAGGACAGTGTCAGTGTCAGCCTAACATCGGAGGACTAAGATGCGACAGGTGCTTACCAGGAAATTACGGGTTTTCAAGGTAAAATAATACTCATTCTACTTGTTTTAATTTCTTTGAGAAATCACTCACCTAAGGGTTTAGAAAAATCAAGGCTGTTCATGCTAAACAATCGATAGCGGGTTTACATTGTTTGGAGCAGTTCATAAACTTGTTTTTAAAAATGTATTTGCAGTCTATGGAACATTAATAGAGACTGCTAGTTGTACGGCCAGGAAAACATATATTGACACTGAGGAATGTGATTTAGTTCGATTTAGATGTACTTTTTGGGGTCTCTGAGATTTGCTTTGACAGTAAACATGTTTGACCATTTGTTGGAACAGGAAATTTTTGAGGAGTCTCACATGGGGTGAATAGAAATCCGAGAAAGACCAGGGAAAATCTTAATCGTTGATTTTAATATTGATTGATTATCTTTTTTGTCGTCAGTGGTAGATGTCAGCCATGTGGTTGTAATACATCTGGAAGCGTGGACAATACTTGTGATGATACTGGCAAGTGCACCAGCTGTAAGAAGAACGTAGAGGGAAATAAGTGTGACACTTGCAAAAGTGGAACGATCAATCTTCAAGCAAACAATGATTACGGATGCAGTGGAGGTGAATAATGTCTTTGAGTTATCATTCGCACGTTCAGACAGGATTTTGCATTTCTGGTACGTGTGTGTCTAATTGGAAGGGTTTCAAGCCATGGCAACCTCAACATATCATCTCAAGATCTCTCTCTCTGTTAGTGCTAGATTGGAATTTTACACGTTTTCCCGTGTGCATTTTTCGCCTTTTGTTTCCAGACTTAAAACATGCGCATAATTTAGACTAAGTTAAGTTCACTCAAGCTCAGTTAGTAATTTTTCAGTTCAACGTCGACCGTCTTCAGTTACACATCGTTTTGTAAGTATTTTTTCCTATTTCTTTTGCTTTCCGTTTGCTTTAATCGTTTTCTGCCTTATCGTTAAATTGTAATCTGTCCTTTATTATTAGGAACTCTCTCTCTAACGCAATCAAATGAACGAAAGAAGAGTAAGACGAGTGTATTTTTTTACCGCTAAACCGCGCCAATATTTAGTTCAAAACGATGTACCGACGAGAACAACCACCGAGAACCGCTAAAGGAAAAGTCTACAATACTGAACGTAAGAAAGCAAGATGTAAATCTCTATCGACTCAGATGAAGAAAGTAATGGACAGAATCGAGACACAGTCACGTTTAATAGATAATGTTCATCACGTACAAAATGACGTGCAAGTTCTTGGTACAATGAAAGATGACCTTCAAAGAGAATTTCAATCTTGGCTCGTTGATCTAGACAAAGAAGAGGACGTACGACAAGCTCATCTATGGTACGAAAAAAAGCGTCATGAAATTGAGATATTATTTTCAGCAATGGATGAGTGGACAGTGATGGCTAAGGATAAGATTGAACAACAGCTCGACAAGTACCCGTCTGGTAACGTGAGCGCCACATCAAAAAGATCATCAATTAGAGCCATCGAAAGGGCAAAAGTGGCAGAACTATTAACCCAGTCAGCCTTGCTTGAATAGAGAAAAACCTTGCGTAATCAGATGGAGAAGCTAGATATCGAAGAACGGATAGCTGTTGCTAAAGCACGTCAACAAGCATTGATCGAGGCAGAAGAGGTTAGAGATTCCCAGTTACACCTAAAGGTAGTAGAAACACCACAGACAGCGCCTACTTACCTACCATCTCAAATGACAGTATGAAGATGAACAATCGTTAGCAAAGACTTTTCCGGATTTTCACCTCAAACCCTCATTACATACATTGGCCTTTAAGAAAGAGCCGACTACGCCCAAGCCTCGACGAACAGTCAATATAGATCCCACTCCATCACCTATCAAAATGTCACCAATTCCTTCATCCATTGCAACAAAGACCCCTAAACCAGGTATTTACAGAAATATCAAACACGAAGAAGAACCACCGTATATGACGCCACGACGATCTAATTATGATTGGCAGTACTCTCCAAGATACCCACGTGAAGATAATGTATCATTAGCAGGGTTTCTGGATAGGCGTTGACTGAATTACTCACCGAGCATCATCAGAGAAGCTTATTACCACCTCTGGCGTTATCTACCTTCACCAACGACCCTGTAGACTTCACGACGTTCATCACAAGCTTTGAGTCACAGAGTCCAAAGTCTCTTCTTGACGTGAAGTCTGTCTGCGATATCTAGAACAATACTTAGAAGGTGAAGCTAAGGACTTGATCAAGGGATGTCGGTACAAAGACGCGAAAATAGGATATCCAGAAGCCAAGAAACGTCTTAAAGAGAAATATGGAGATCCTTACAAAATTTCAAACGCTTACATCAAGAAAGCTGCAGATTGGCCTGTAATCAATTCTGGAGACAACGCCGCCCTAGACCGTCTGTCTATCTTCCTGACTCAGTGCGTGTGCGCCATGGAATCGATGTCGTACCTCTCTATCTTGGATCATCCGCATAATCTTCAGAACTTAGTCAGAAAGTTACCATTATACCTACAAGACAGATGGAGGAGACACGTAACCATCAGAGATTCTGAAGATAGCATTCCCAGTTTCAAGAGTTTCGCTAACTTTATCAGCTAAAGTGGCCACTGATCCTGTGTTTTCCAAAGAGGCCTTGGCAAAGACTGATACAAAGGAACAAAAGAGCAAGGCATTCAAGACAGTTGACAATCAAAAGGGAAGACCTTACAGAGTTTCAAATCACGCCATCAATGTATCGCCCGCAACAGTAGTCCAATCAAGTTCCAATTCGAGATGTATTTTATGTAATGAAGCTCACGATCTTGATGACTGCAAGCAATATAAAGACAAAGTATTGAACGAAAGAAAGAAGTTCCTCGCCGAGAAACAGATGTGTTACGGCTGCTACAAACCAGGTCATAGATCACGTGGCTGTATACAGAAAAGAAAATGTACTATCTGCGAAGGACAACATCCAACTGGTCTCCACGATTACAACTTTATAGCGACACAAAGGTCTTACTCGTCACATGGAAAGGAAGGCAGCAAACCTGACGTTAACAACATTGCTGACAGTAATCGCGTTTCCAACTCAAGAATTATTGCTTCTGAGACATGCAGTACTACCACACAGCAAACTCAATCCTTACCTGTCGTTCCTGTCAAGCTACAATGGAGGAATAATCAGATCTCAACGTACGCAATGCTCGATAGTTGTAGTACAGGTACATTCATAACTGAAGATATCTACAAGCAGTTGAAGTTAGAAGGCGCAGATACGACATCAATCCTGTTACGAACGATGAATGGTCAAGCACTTCAAGACACCAAAGCTGTTACTAGTCTCAAGATCTCTGATCTAAAGGGTGAAAATAGCATAGAGCTACCAAGAACGTTCACAAGAGAAATCATCCCATCGTCTGACAATGACATACCTCAACGTGAAATGGCTGAAAAATGGCAACATCTAAACCGAGTAGCAGATCAGATTCCTGAACGCCTACAAGATTCAAAGGTTGGAGTACTCATCGGCACAAACTGCCCAAAGGCGATCGAACCAAGAGACTTCATTACAAGTAAAAGCAATGGCCCGTACGTAGTTCTAACATTTGTTGGATGGACCGTCGTTGGACCTTTGGACGTCCAGAACAAGCAAGAATGTATCAATTCTAACCGTATTTGTGTGAAAGAGTTAAACCCAGTAAAGTCATCCATGGATCATATTATGTTAGTCAGCAGTACTAAGGAGATCATCACCCCGAAGGCGCTGAATAGTATGATGGACCTAGAATTCAACGAAAGAATGGATAATAGCGTGACTACCTATTCTCAAGATGACAAACATTTCTTGAAGATTATCGAAGAAGAGATTAAATACGAGAATGGACATCACAACATGCCACTACCTTTCAGAGACAGTGTTGTGCTCATGCCGTGTAACAAAGAACAAGCTATCTCAAGAGCCACGTGGACAAAGAATAAACTATCAGAAGATGCACGGGGACTATGTTAAATTAATGGGTAATCTACTGGACAAAGACTATGCCAGAAGTGTACCATTATCACAAGCTCGACCTGAATCAGGAAAGGTTTGGTATTTACCGCACCATGGAGTGTATCATCCCCACAAGCCAAAGATACGCGTAGTCTTTGATTGCAGTGCAAGATACGGCGAAACATCTCTTAACAGTAAACTGTTACAAGGTCCAGTTTTGACAAGTTCCCTAGTTGGAGTACTGACAAGATTTCGCAAAGAGCCAGTAGCCTTTCAAGCTGATATAGAGGCTATGTTCCATCAAGTGCGTGTAGCAGAAAAACATCGCAATTTTCTGAGATTCCTCTGGTGGCCCAACGGAGATCTATCGCAAAGTTTACACGAGTACCAGATGAATGTTCATTTGTTTGGCGTTCATTTCCTCACCAAGCTGTGCCAATTATGCGGTTCGAAGGACAGCTGATGATACAGAGAACCAATTTGGAAAGGAAACGGCAGATGTCCTGAGAAAGAACTTCTACGTAGATGATTGCTTACGCTCAGAGGAAACAGAAGAAAAAGCAATTGAAAGCTTAGACAGCACAATCGCAGCATGTTCAAAAGGTGGCTTTCGACTTACAAAGATAACGAGCAATAGCAGAAGATTATTGGAAAGTATTCCCGAAGAAGATCGTTCCAAAGACCTTAGCTTTGACGACTTACCAGTTGAACGTGCACTTGGAGTCCAATGGCATATCGAGTCTGACACATTTAGTTTCAAGATCACTCTTAAAGATAAGCCCCTTACAAGAAGAGGAATATTATCGACGATAAGCTCAGTGTACGACCCACTTGGTTTCGCAGCTCCAGTTCTACTGCCTGGGAAGATAATTTTGCAGGAACTTTGCAAAACAAATGCTAGCTGGGACGATCCCGTGCCCGAAGAATATGTTCACGCTTGGGAAAGATGGAGAAACCAATTGCCTTTGCTTGAGAAGTTCAGCGTAGCAAGATGCGTCAAGCCTGCAAACTTCGGAACAGTCATCGATCGACAGATTCATAACTTTTCTGACGCCAGCTGTACAGGATATGGTCAAGTCTCCTACCTACGACAAGTCAATTCAAGAGGAGAAATTCATTGTGCGTTTCTAATGGGAAAAGCACGTCTGGTTCCCATCAAGTCTGTAACTGTCCCAAGAATGGAGCTAACTGCTGCTGTCGTCTCCTGCAAGATCGGAAACAAGCTCGTTGGAGAACTTGATGATGATGTACAAAACCCAACATATTGGACCAACAGTACCACAGTTCTAAGATATATCCACAACGAACAAGCACGATATCAAGTGTACGTTGCAAATAGAGTCCAGACGATAAGAGATAAAACCGAACTAGAACAATGGAGGTATGTGCCAGGAAAAGAAAATCCCGCAGATGATTAATCACGTGGTCTAGATGTCGACAAACTTAATGATCAATACCGTTGGATAAAAGGCCCGGATTTCCTGTGGAAGCCAGAGTCAGAATGGCCAGAGCACTTTGTCAGCAACGACAACGATAAGAACGAGTCAATAGTGAACGCGACCATAACACAAGAGCACCGCAAGACCAGTAATCTGGAGCGACGAAACAGAATCCTCCAAGTCAAGACCGACTGGAAGAACCTTGTACGTTCAGCAACAGTGAAGACATCAACTACAACCCTGGAACGACCAATCACGAAACTCTTATTGGTACTGGAGAACGATGCCCAATAGAGTAAAGACACAATGAACATTTCATTGAACACTTTATGTTTAATATTATATTATTGATTTAAGGACACCTTTTTGATAAGATTATTTAATAGCACTAATAAGTTTCAGTCATAAGAGTCGCATATCTCCCTCATTGGGGGGAGGATGTTAGTGCAAGATTGGAATTTTACACGTTTTCCCGTGTGCATTTTTCGCCTTTTGTTTCCAGACTTAAGGACGGTGCCTACTATTGTCCACGCGCACACATACTGCGCATCTACATTCGCGGAATTTCAAAATCTATTACTCGAATTGCACGAAACAAAACGTTTATTTTCAATAAAAGTTAAAGCAGAAACCGATTTTAAGTAACCAAGGCTTGTTAAAGAGATAATTTGCTAAGGTTTAAGCATTATTGAAAAAAAATCATAAGTTTTTTTGGGCAAGTTTCAGTGAAAAAATGGCAGACTCATAGTTCTAAAAAACCAAATCCTTTCAATAATAAAGCTTTTTACCGTTTCTTTAGATTTAATCCTATAAAACTTGAATGAAAACAAACAAGAAATACATATGAAATTGAAAATTTACCATTTATTAACATCTAGGTGTGTAATTATAGTTTTGAAAATCTTTTTTTGGTCGCTAAATACTTTCATCATGAAAGTCTTTTACTTTGGAGTTCTCAATCTAAAAAATCATCTTATTACGTACCAAATATTTCAGAAATTCCTTTCTGCTGTTAAGTAAAAAGTCGATAATAACTTCACTTCAAACCCAATAGTCTTCCTGGAACTATAAAGCTTAAAAATATGGAGTTTTCCCCTGTGTTTTTGCTTGCATAGCAGGAGGCAGCATGTTTAGCTTGACGTGCAAACGCGCCAAAAACAGAGTTTATCACGCCGTTTTGTATGATGTGTAACGCTTGTCACGCATTCAGCATAAGATTTATCCCTAATAATGTTCTTTAAAAATTCGTATCTCTTAAAAACGCCTGGATACCCCTATTTTTTCTTCGTTTAAATGATAGAGTAAATGCTAAATTAGTCTTGTGAATTGAAAATTATGAAAAATAATTGGTTTTGAAAAGAATATGGACACAATCTTTATATATCTACAGATCGAAAATAGGTAGCACGAAGCTAAAAAATTATATATATTATAGCCAACTATTAAGTTCATGGTAGAATTGGGTATATTTTAGTAAAGAAACAAAGTGTCAGTCATTTAGGACGATTTAAATTAGAAATTTCTCAAAATCTTTTGAAAATAATTTTTTTTCCTGGTGTTAGTAAAATCATGGCGTCATCACTTTTTAACGATTTTTAAGCCTTATTATTTCTTTTAAATGCATGGTGACCCCTACTTTTCTAACCAGAATTTGACAACCCTTTGATAGGTTAAAATAATTCACATAGTCATTTAAAAAAATAATTGATTCTCAATTAGTAGGCACCGTCCTTAAAACATGCGCATAATTTAGACTAAGTTAAGTTCACTCAAGCTCAGTTAGTAATTTTTCAGTTCAACGTCGACCGTCTTCAGTTACACATCGTTTTGTAAGTATTTTTTCCTATTTCTTTTGCTTTCCGTTTGCTTTAATCGTTTTCTGCCTTATCGTTAAATTGTAATCTGTCCTTTATTACACCTTTTGCTGTTCATTAACCGCAAAGGAATATTCATTCAAACGAAAAAGCATTATCATTAGCGCGAAGAGGCACACAATAACGCGAACGGAGTTTCAAGAGCGCGATGGAACTTTCATTAAGGAATTTAGCATAACATTGGACAATCATGAATATGTTTGTGCAGGTTCATTAGCGTTTTCGAAGTTTCATTAGCGCCTTTGTGCAATCAATAGACAAAACCACACATTCAATAACGGTTTTTGGACATTCATTAGCGCAATACATTTATTGTGTGCCTCTTCGCGCTAATGATAATGCTTTTTCGCTTGAATGAATATTCCTTTGCGGTTAATGAACAGCAAAAGGTGTATTAGGAACTCTCTCTCTAACGCAATCAAATAAACGAAAGAAGAGTAAGACGAGTGTACTGATTTTTTTACCGCTAAACCGCACCAATACTCCCCATCCCAAAGCAAATGTTGTTCATTCCCATCACTGACATCTTAGGACCCATCCTTCCTGTTTATACCTTCTTTTAATCAATCAATCAATCTTTATTTATTGCCAAATTTGCAAAATTACATATACTAGACTACGATAATACAGAAAATTGGTACAAGCCAGCTGTGATAGCCATACGCTAAACGAGAAAAACGTTCTTTCCTAAACGTCCTTTTTTTGTTTGTTCACGTCATTTTTCTCCTTTCTGCTTTTCCCCTTTCCTTCCTCGCTTTTATTAATTCTTTCATATCATTTAGCCATCCATTTATCTCCTCCTTCATCCTTTGCTGGTAAACGTTCTTAAAATTCTATCAATCCTGTGATCTCAGTAAGACACACAAAGTATTTAATCCTCATTCTTTTTTAACGACTCGCATTGTATTTTTATAGTTCCTTCCCAGCAAGCTCCTCCTTTTGTCAACATCCTTTCATCCAGAGCTCTTCAAATAACTTGGAACAAACCGGACAATCCAAATGGTCCTATCATTCGCTATGATCTTTACCGTAATGAATCAGTGATTTACAATGGAACGGCCAGGGCATTTAACGACACTGGACTAACGCCCAACACATATTATTACTATTACATCATGACTTACACTGAAGCGGGAAGTACACGTAGTTACCAAGACAACCGCGTTTACCGAACACCTGAAGATGCTCCAGAAGGTATTGCAGCACCAGTAATGTCTAATGTCAAAGCCCGTATCGCTCAAGCAACATGGCAGAAACCTAACATTACTAATGGAGTCATTACACAGTACAGATTGGTCTCTGTTAACAGCTATAGTTTATCTGAAGTTGTACATTGCCAAGGTCCATTCCTCTTAAGATGCGATGCTTCAAATTTAAAGCCCTTCACTGTGTACAATTTCACTGTTGTTGTTTGCAATCAGGGTGGTTGCGATCGCAGTCATCCAACCCAAGTCAAAACTCGCGAATCAGCTCCAGCTTTCCAGCCAATGCCCAACGTTACTTTAATTCCTGGCGGCCGTTCAGTTTACGCGACCTGGGATGAGCCACCTGTTCCAAATGGCAAGGTATTTCGCTATGAGCTATACATGCGTGCTTCGCCCTTCAGTGGAGGTGGTCAAGCAATCCTGCCTAACAGCCATGTTGATGTGCGAAATACTACAGTAACAAATCTCGTGCCTTATACCTTATATGAATTTCGAGTTGTTGCATATACCACTGAGGTAAATGGGGATACATCAAGTGAATGGAAGCGAATAAGAACAGCTGAAGGAGGTAGGTTTAAAACTGTGTATTCATAATTTCATTGTGTTTCTAAGAATAAAGAAGACGATGACACTTAATTTAGGTAAGAACATCATCACTGGCTACCCTGAACTTTACTTGGTGGCTCCAGAATACAAATCCTAATCAATTTTGCAAACAAGGCAAAAAAATAAAATGGATTTTTCTTGGGCGTAATGTTTTCCCATTTCAGACCACGTCTCATTCCCTTGAGTATAAGATTTTTTCTTTTAGTTGTATCCATATTCTATGTGTATTCTCATAAGGAGTGACACGTGGTATGGACAATGGGAAAATATTACGCCCTAGGTAAAGAGGGTCATTGAACAATTTGCTTTGTGTATATATTGCAAATCAGTTCATTATGTATCTGGGATTTTAGCGCACGTTTTTTTATTAAAGACTATTTTTCTATTGTTGTTTGAAAAAAGGCGCGCTTAGGTTTTTTTTCATCATATACTATAGAAGTCAATATTTGGTTCTCAAGATGAGGTCAAGTGCCCTGATGAAACACGTACCTTCTGAAGTAACTTTAAAATCACCTTGATAGATTCATAATTAGATTATTTCATTAGGATTCTAACCTCTAGGGTTTTGGAATATTTTAAAATTGATTCAAAGTGTTGACGTGAAATATTTTTTGTGTGGAGTTTTTTCAAGTTATTAGTGGCTTCCAAGGTTATTCGTGTATATATGTTATATATTTTTAATGTCCGACTTGCAAGGAATTCGCGGGTACCAGAAGAGACAACGTACAATGACCTATGGAAGAATCGATATAAGTAAAGAAAATATCAGCCGCGCTAAACTGGTCTAGTGATATGATTCTCGCTTAGGGTGCGAGAGGTCCCGGGTTTAAATTTGGAAAAGCCATGTTTTTGCTGCAGGAGCATAGGAGAAGAGCTGCCTTTTAAAATGTTTTATTACTTTTCATCGAAAATTGAGTACTGTACTTCATTTTGACATGTCGAAGTAACCTTGTCTAGTGATCTAACTAGTAATAAATTTATATATGTATTTTTTACATTTTTATATTTTTCCATTTTTAGTTCCAGCCGGGGAATTAGACATTCATCCCCAGTCCAGCGCAGTCGCTAGTGATGCTATCGAGGTCAAGTGGAAGCCACCCAGTTTGCCTTACGGGATTATCGTCCGTTATCGAATAACAGCTTACCAACAGTCGTCTGTGATTGCAAGCGAGGAAGCGAATGGAAACAATCGATCATCTGTTGTGAGCGGCCTTTCTCCTTACACGACCTACAGATTCATTGTGATTGCATGCAATAGTTATCGATGTACGGGAGAGAGTTCATCTACCTCTGCTAGAACATTACCATCAGGTATTCAATGAATATCATTAAGTAAAAAATATGTTAACGTCTTATGTATCATACGTCAGTCACATAAATGCGTATGAGAAGTCTCTGAATTTGCACGATTACTTTTGTTCAAAAATGAATTTGCATAATTGCTTCTGCTTAAACCTTCAAAGTTCGATTGCTGATCCATTTATTTATAATATTTTAGTATTGTCTTGCTATACTCCTTCTTGTTATCTGTCGCGCTCTCATTGGGTTTCTTTATTGCCACCCTCCCTCCTTTGCGCTGTTTTTTTTTGTTTTTTTGTTGTTGGGAGATTTCCGTAAGAGCCCCGCCACTCCAATCTATCTTATTCGTTTGACATTACAGGCTACTTGCCATTTCCGAGAAAATAAGATTCTTTGTTTGAATTGCACCCATATTCATGTGTCTTCTAAGTCTTTTCATACACAACCGTTAAACATAGAAACCAGGGGACACTCTTTGGAATGACACGTGGTCTGTAATGGGAAAACATTGCACCACGACGTTCAAGGTCTATTCTTAAGCAGGAGTACAGTGGGATCGCCGTAAATAGCCCTTGATATAGATGATTTGGTTATAAATGTGTTATGCATCTTTTCAATATTATGTTAGTATTTCTTTGAATATCTTAATGCAAGTTTATTTTCTATTTTAGCTCCCAAAGAACAAGGTGCTCCAAACATAACCAAAGCGAGCTCTTCCTCCATTTCACTAACCTGGGCACAACCACAGATTTCAAACGGACCTCTGCCACCATCATACAACGTCACTCGTTCATCAGCTGCTTTTAACCAGCCACCGCAAGTGGTTACTGCTGGTGTCCACTTTCCAGGGCTTGGCTTCTATAAGTTTCCAGCAAATTTTGTACCACCTGGAGCTGTCAACACTATTGAACTTTCTTTCCGCACTAAGTATCCTGATGGATTATTGCTCTTCTTGGCGACAGACAACTTACAAGAGGATTTCCTTGTGATTGAGTTACGTGAAGGGAAGCCTTGGTTTATCTTTGAWWGTCAARATGGGCCTGCTGCATTCACAATCCGGGATTCCGTCCGTTTTGACGATAACAGATGGCATCATTTARGAGCAGACCGWARAGATAKTAYTGGGACCTTAACRATTGACGRTGKTTATAGTAACSGTGGYTCTAGTACCCCTGGCTCGAYAACTATTGGCRAAAACACTGGAGTTTACATTGGTGGACTGCCATCAGACTTTGTTATTAAAAGAGACGATACAGGAAATACGGTTATTAGACGCCATGGGTTCATTGGTTGTTTAAGGGAAGTCAAATCAAATTCTAAACTATTTGATTGGACGGCAGCATTGGAAAAGAAAGGAGTTGATCCAGAATTGAATGCTTGTCCAGTTATTGGGATTGATAMAGGGGCTTTGTTRCGTGGTGGTGGTTWTATCGCTATAAAATCAGGYATCTTTACTGGYGGAGTGGTTTTTGTTTTAGAWCTTTCATTTCGTACCCAGTTTAGGTCTGGGATATTGGTGTTTGCTTATGGACCGTCTTCACATGTTGCCTTACAYTTAGTTGATGGAAAAGTCRAYGTTAAACTACKTGGAACTAATAACCAGACAAGTGTTCGGGCGAGTGAAAAAGATGTCTGCGATGGCAAATGGCATCAWATAAGCATYRCAGCASTTAATGGGTTTAATTTTRTYATTTCTGTTGACGGGAATAACAACAYRATAGATCCAATCACCTATATTACRATCAACTCCGATCTTTACATCGGTGGAGTCCCTGTGGAAGAGGAAGAAGTTGTTGTGAGAGTAAAGGATGCTGGGATCGATCCCTACGATGCGTTTGGTGGGTGTATAAAGGATGTGAAGACGTCAAAAGCTATTTATCTAAATACAAATGTAACAAGGATGAGAAATGCTGACCTCGATGGTTGTGTGTCAGATTCTCAAGTGAATGCTACTCTTTCCGGGGGAGGTTTGTGTCAAGTTCCTAGCAGTACTGATTTGATTACTCAGACAACGACGCTATTTACTGATTCAACTGTCGAGCCTTTTACAGGTAACTTAGTCGCATTCTAACGTGAAGATGTGTTTTGTCTCTTTCCTTGTCTAGTGTTTCTCAGTTGTTGCTCAGCATGTATTTACTTCTTGTTGCTCATAACTTTTCCTGCTTTATTATCCAATATTTACTTTGAATGCTTGGATCTCTTTGCAGACTATGTATATCGTGTTGAGAGCTTTCATAAAGGTACAACTGGCTCTGCTAAAAGTGTACAGGTTTGGACACGAAGTGGACAAGGAGGTAATTTAGGCATAAATCTACATATTCTTGCTTTTAACTGCGCATGCATTCATTTCATTTTTACTCACAAAATGTCTGTTTTCAGCACCCTCGGATATAAGTCCTCCTACAACTGTCCTCCCTCTCGATGATGGTCGCTCAGCACGTGTCACATGGAGTCGTCCAGGCAGGCCGAATGGCCTAATCATTTACTACCATATAATAGCACAGAATCTGCTTGATGGAACAGAGGTGGCTACAAAGGTCATTGATACAGAAAACCTAAATTCCACTATAACCGGCTTGAGACCATACACGGATTATGGCATCAAAATAGCAGCATTTACTATGGGAGGGAATGCAACTGGACCAGCTGTCAATCATAATACCACCAAACAAGCAGGTTTGCAAATACGTTGCCAATACATGAAAATACATTTTAACTTCTTTTAAAGCTTTCTTTCTTTCTCTCTTGATTGATTATTATTTTTCATTATTTTCCTGTGCAAGACTATACGTAAAAAAATGTGTTTCTCTCATGTGTCCAAATGTGGCCACAAATCGTCCTCTGGGCTCTAAGGCGCACGAGCTCCGTGCAAAATCTCCGAATAATCTCCGAACATGCGAATTGATAAAAACTGATTCGAAGTTGATTTGCTCGGCCTTTGGCACG